ATAAAATTTATTTGATATTATTTTTTGATTCTAATTCATCAAATTTTTCAAAATAAGACTATAGAATTTCTGATTAATTGTTATTTGGAGTAAATGTCAATATTAATTTTGTGTCAGACAACCTTATTAAGTGAAGTGTAAATAATTAGTTTATTTTTCAATATTTCTGATGACATTTTAACTTTTATTTACACGCTAAATATTAATTAACAAATAAAATTATATTGGATTATCTAAAAATATTTTTATCAGAATTAAAATCTTTTTGGCTTAATTAAAAATTTTGAAGTTCATTTTCTAAAATGAAATAATTTAACTAATTTCATGAAATTATCAATCATACTATTTTTCAACCTAATTCAGGTAGTTTCATAATTATATATTATTATATATGATTAAATAATAAACAAAGCAAAAAAAAAAGAATGATGTAACATAAGCGTATTTATTTAAAAGGCAACTGGATTACCCTTAACCAATGGAACACTCGAATTAAAAAAAATTAAAATATTTGTCCAAAATCAAAATAACAATTAGTAGAACTTAGTTACAACCCTGTTCCTTGAATATATACATAAGTTCAAGAAAAACATAATCAAGCTTAAACTTATTGTAGGATACATGAACAAAGATTGTTATATCAACAGATTCTAACGTATCATCTTAGTTGTGATCTCTGAAATTATAGTATAGATATATTATCAGAAAGATACAAATTTAAGAAAAAGTCTCAAAAGTATAATTACACAAAAGACTAATTGAAAGTAGAAAATATTAAATTGATTTGATATGATATGAATTGTTGTAAGTAATTCTGTCATAAAACAAGAAGCATAAGAATAATGACATTTTATGCATTAATATTCTAAATAATGAAGATTTTAATCCAAAAATGATACAAACAAGAATATTTTAATAAATACAACATACATATACAATATAAAGAAAACGAAAATGGTAATATAGTCAAGAAATCCGAATAATCTTTATTCATCTATTAAAAGAATTCTTAAACATTAAATCTAATGAAAAAGAAACAGATATTAAATACTTCAACTCCTTCTTTAATTGTTTCTAATTTCAATTCACCCACAAAATTCTCCAAATAATCTTTTCAATGCAATAATTTTTTGAAATCAATTGAGGATTAAGTTATTAATACTATGCTATTAAGAAGTAAATTGATTCTCGACTTAAGAATAACTTAATTTATATAATTTTATTGATTAATCTTCTATAATTTTTTGATTCATTTCCTTATATGAATTTGACTGATATCTATGATTGAGACAAAATTTTAAATCTTTATAATATTTACTAAGGATATACTTATCAGATGAAAAAAGTGATATTTAAATATCAATTGATTAACATAATCATTGATAATCTTGATAAGATAAAAAATTTGATTTCCACAGCAAAGAGTAAGCATATATTTGTGTTTTATATTCGGCTATTTAAATCTTTGATTTTATTTAGCAACCAACAATTTGATTGGTTTATATTATGATAATCCTAATATTTTTCATCAAGATAGACAAAATTAAAGTCCTAATGGAAATTTATAACTTGCATCAAAATTATTTTTTATGTAATTTGAAATCTAGGAATTTTTTAATTCAAATGTTGTATAAAATTTTAATTCTATAACATATATATTCTATTTATTTTGGAAAAGTTTTGTTATTAAATTTTTCCTCTTTATTATCCAACTCTTTATTATCCAATATATATTTATAAGAATACTGATGCATTTAAAAATAGTATTGCATGATTTATTCATTTAATATGAATAAAATCACTAAAACAAACAGAATTTATGATAAGATCAATGAAAATTATCATATGAAACTAAATGCTTTGATTTTATGAAATATATAAGTTTTTGTAAAACTTTCGGTTATCGTATTTAAGAGTCTGAATTAAATTGAGTATATTTTTACTTATTTGTGTTAGAGTTATTGAATGTTATATTTCTCTTCATATTATTTTTTTTTTATCAAATTTCACCAATATAAAAAATGTAATTAAGAGAATTTTAGAGATATAAATAATTATTTGTCCTTTATAAGGATATAAAAATAAATTATGGCTTTTTAATATTCCTTTTCTAGATTTCAATTTAATAAACAAGAGGTATCTCTAATGTCATTATCTAATTCTTAATTCAAATCTATTTAGAGTAAATTAAACTTTAACTTAAGGAACAATTTTATCAATTTCCTAATTTTTACTTTCCAAAAATGTTAATTCTGCTATATCTAATTTTAAGATTATTTTCCTTACCTAGATTCTGAGGTTTGAAATCTCGATAATTTACCAAACTTGAATTTTTTAACCCTATAGTTTTCTATTTGAATAAATTATATTCATCAGTTAATTATTATTAGGTTAATCATCTGCTTCTGCTATTCAAGATAAATAATTAAATAATCTTTATAGCATGCAGAATAGAAATAAAATGGTAAAACCTTCATATTATTAAAAAATGAGTTAGAAAAAAGAAAGCTTAACTAAAGAGAAAATTAACTTAATTTGTTAACACAAAATGCTATATCTCATCTATATTATGTATCAAAGATCATTTTATTTTTTTTAATTATATTGATATTAGAACTATTAATTTTTGGAAAATCAAAGTCTATCTTTAATGCATTTTTTTATGAAATTTTATTTAAATAGGTTCATATAAGAAAGTTTAGAGTTT